GGAAATAGAAGTCTCTATTCAAGAATAGTTTCTTAAGCTGGAATACCTAACATGTCACTTAAGGAGATAATTTATTCCCCTGTGAGCAAGACAAAACTCCTGAACCACCACAGAAACATCTTTATATGCCCAGGTAGTACAAGGTGAAAATGTTTTTTTTGTTGTTCATATAACTAGAGCAAGATTTATGATGGGTGGGGTGATTCATTGAAATACATTTCCATGTATAAATGATCAGTTCTTTCTGGTGTTTCAAATGGATTCCACTTAGTCCAGTTTCTAGACTAAAAGGAATGATTTAGACTTGTAACCTCACTTGATACATTTTTGCTTTGAACATTGAATTTTCTAAGTATTCTATTTTCAACTGTACTGTATCTTTCAAATAGAAAGTTACTTGTGTCAAGAAAAGGTCAATATACAGATGCAATTGTTAACTGACAACCACAAACATTACTAAGGTCATCTCTAAGCACCTCTAAGGTAAGTTTCTCAATTGTGTTGTCTCTCATTTAAGACCATTACTATTCATATAGTTAAATTATTATTTACATAATTTTCCAATTACAGCAATAGAGTCTTTCCCACTCCAAATATTCAAAACACTTGAGTATTAACTTCATTTGACAGGTCAAATTGAAGCTCATAGAGATAAAACAATTTCTAAGAATTTACCTTAGCTTTCTCATGTCAATCTCAAGGTTTCCGGCAGAACACCCCTTCCTTTAATAACAGACTAATCATGAGGATGAAAATATGATTTAGATACACATTGTGCACAAAAGTAATAAATATGAAGATAAGCAAGACTTGGAGAGTCAATTTTGGGGTCAAATTTATATAAGTGATATTACTCTCTCTCTGACGCATTTAGAGGTAATTTTGAGATAATTGTTCGTTGCCTGGTTATGTGTTGCTTTGTATTATTACTTTAAGTGTCAACACATTTGACCTTTTCAGTGCACACAGGGTTATGAATATGGGATAAATAAGTGCTTTGTAGACATTGTGCTGGATGTGCTCATGTGTGCTCCCTTAATCAACTCTCCAAACTACCAGTGAGGTGGACAGTATCCTTCTTTTTATAGATAAGAGAACAAGAAGGTAAGAGGCCAAGAAATGCATCCTAGATTAAGAGTTGCAAATGAAAGATCTTAGGTCTAGCTTTCTGCTTCTAGAGTCAACACACCGCTCCACTGAACAACCATTTTCAGCATCTTTTCAGAATAGTCTGGGACTATGTTTTGCAGAGAAATTAGAGCAGGGATAGCAGGGTCTGAAGGAGCCCTTGGGGACTCAATGGTTAAGTGCTTGGCTGCAAACCTAAAGGTTGGTGGTTTGAAGCCACAAGCCATTCTGTGGGAGAAACGACTTGGTAATCTGTTCCTTTAAAGATTATTGCCCAGGCCACCATAGTGGGTGGTTCTGCCCTGTCAAATAGGCTACCTGTAGGTAGCAATTGACTTAAACGTTTACTACAAAGGCTGAGGAAAAAGTCAAGATGAAGGGGCTTCATGAAAAAAAAATTACCACATTTATTTTAAATACTTGAGATTCCAGGATGCTATCTATCTATCTATCTATCTATCTATCTATCTATCTATCTATCTATCTATCTATCTATCTATCATCTATCATCTATCTATAGCTAGACTGTTTTTCAATGACATTTATTTGTATGAACTTGCCTCTACTTTTTATTAGACTTTTTATTTTCGCAAGGATTCTCAACTTCTCTGGTCTTCTATTTCCTAATGTGTAAAATTAGTATACAAATGATTATGCTACCAATTTCATAGGTATGTAATAAAAATTGGTTAGGTCATGTCTGCAAATCACTTAGAATATACCAAGGACCCAGTAATTTCAGTTGTGATGAGGGTATGTCAAAAGATATTGTTACAAACTCATAGAAGCCTTTGTTAAACCAAATGATCAAAATGTGAAAACTATCGTTTCTCAAAATATCCTCCATTTGGGTCTATACATTTTCTCAGGTGGCCTTTCCATCTCTCTACCCTTCTCCAAAGAGCTCTGGGCTCTCAGATTTACAGCAGGTCAAAATGGCAGTCATGGCATCCTTAAGGACACGTTCTCCTTCAGAATGTCCTTTAAGCTTGGGGAACTACAAAAAGTCTGAATGGGCAATATCAGGGCAGGACGTTCATTGTAGCAAAATTTCCCATTAAAATTCTCATAGGATATCACTTGATACCCTCAAAGAATGAGCAGGTGCCTTGTTTTGATCTGGAAATAAAACAACTTTTTGATGGACCCTTGTGTATATCTTGGCACGCTGGTGGCATAGTGTGCATGCATTGGGTTGCAATCTACAAGGTCAGGAGTTCAATGCCACTGACAGCTCTGTGGGAGAAAGACAAGGCTTTCTACTCCTGTAAAGAGTTACAACCTCAGAAACTCACAAAGGCAGTTAGTTCTACACTATCCTGTAGGGTCACTATGAGTCAGCATGGACTCTATGGCAGTGAATGTGTGTGTATATCTTAACAACTGGCTGCTTGCTATTGCATCATATGGAAGCGAGAGGTTTAAATATGCGATTTCATTTAATACTTGTATGATAAGGTGACCAGATGTCCCACTTTTGGTGTTTTAAAAAAGTCCTGATTTTTGGAAAGAATGCACGACAAGCTAGGGAATGGTCTATTTGGTTCATATGGACCAAATTTTTAATCAAGAACATCCCCCCCCCCCGCTGTCAATGGTGTCCCACTTTAAATCTGGTCACTTTATTTTAAGAACACATGTGGTTGATATTATTCCATACAGGTTTTAGAACAGGAGACAATCTCAGAGACTGATTATGGTCCTAGAAATACTGAAAATACATGAGTAAGTAAATACATATTACTAGTACTACGGATTGAGTTTATACATGGACAAGATTATGCCAAATAAACAACAACAAAGTCAAAACAGAAAAACCAACCATGGTGTTAAATCATCTCTCTGTGATCAGTGGTTCCTGCTGACCACTTGTCATGCGGACACAGCTTTCTTTATCTCCTTACCCCAACACGATAAAGTGCCTTGTGCCAACAAACAAACACAACATACGGGGGTGGGGGGTGGGGTGGGAGTATGAGATAAGAACTCTAACAAAACTTTAACAAAATGCCCCGTAGCTCAAGTGTACATCTTCCCAAATTATTGAAGCTTTGCGGCAAGTTTGCAAGAACGCCTTGCCACAAAAACAACACTTTTCAGATGGATATACAGGAACGTCAGGAGGACCTTAAAGATGACTTTAAGGTAGAAAGGTCAACGCAGAAAGTTATGGTAGCTATTGTGTGGGGATTGCCTAGGGGTAATCTTGATAGATTTTTCTTGAAGAATACAGGATGATTATGAAAGTTTATTAAGAAGGTTTAAGGAAACAGAAAGCAGAGGTGAAAAAAAAGGTAGGATTTTTTTTCCCCCATTACTAAAATGCACCTGCCCATTCTTTGGGGGGTAGAAAGGGCTGTCCTACAACAATTATTCCATCCACTCTACCCCCCAGATCTTGACTCTTCAAACTTCTTTTTATTTTCCCAAGTCAAGGAACATGTAAACTCTTTGATTCCTTCAAGGATGTCAAAACTGCTATTTTGATGTAAGAGATGACTAGAAACAGAGCCTTCAGAAACGTTGATAAAAAAAACCCCCTCACATTTTGATATTTTTGTTAAAGGGATGTCCTGTTGATTCTTTAGCAATACCTTTTGGATTACCCTCACATGCCAAGGTCAATATGGTTTTAGGCAAAGAGCAAAAGTTGGAGGAAATTGCCTCACTGTCCATCAGCCGATGAATGTACAAATAAAATGTGTTCTAATCTTACAATGACATTTTCCTCAGCCCTGAAGGAAAATTCAAGTCCAGGTACCTGCTACAGGAAGGATAAAACTTGAAAATGAAATCAGTTATAAAAGATCAAATCCCACTTTATGGAATAACTAGAATAGTCGAATGTCTAGAGACAAAGGTTTATTAGTAGTTAGCAGGGTTGGACAGAGGAAGGAAGAAAGAAGACTCAATGCTCAGTGGGCAGTGAGTTTCTTTTTTCTTTTTTAAATCATTTTATTAGGGGATCATACGACTCTTATCACAAACCATACATACATCCATTGTGTAAAGCACATTTGTACCTTCATTGCCCTCGTCATTCTCAAAATATTTGCTCTCCACTTAAGGCCCTGGCATCAGGTCCTCATTTTTCCCCCCTCCTTCCCTGCTCCCCACTCCCTCATGAGCCCTTGATAATTTATAATTTGTTTTAAAGCTGGTGGAATTTGGAAATAGGCAATGTAGATGGTTGACTATCAAAACAAGCATAAACAAATATCAAGGAATTATGCATGTGAATTCTGTTGAAATAGTAAATATTTTTACATGTGAATTTACCAGAATAAAAGATAAAAGATCTTAGAACCTTATTTAATTCACCTTACAAAAAGAAACCCCACAAAACTTACAAATCAATAGAATCAGTACATGTGTTGTTCATTATAAATAAAAAGCTTAATAAATTTTAGTGTGTGTTAAAGTTTTTTTTCTTTACAGGTAATGCTAGCAGTCATAAATACATGGAGAGTAGCAACAATGTGACCGAGTTTGTTCTCTTGGGGCTCACAGAAAACCCAAAGATGCAGAAAATCATATTTACTGTGTTTTTCGTCATCTACACCATTACTATGGTAGGAAACATGCTCATTGTGGTCACCATCACTGCCAGTCCATTGTTGGGGTCGCCCATGTACTTTTTTCTGGCCTATCTCTCCTTTATCGATGCTTGTTATTCCTCCGTCACCACCCCGAAACTGATTATAGATTCAGTCCATGAAAAGAAGACCATCCTATTCAATGGATGTATGATCCAAATCTTTGGAGAACATCTTTTTGGAGGTTCTGAGGTGATTCTTCTTACTGTGATGGCTTATGACCGCTATGTGGCTATCTGCAAGCCCTTGCACTACACAACCATCATGAACCGGAGAGTGTGTGGCCTATTTATGGGAGTCTCCTGGGTGGGAGGTCTTCTTCATGCAACTATACAGATCCTTTTCATATTTCGATTACCCTTCTGTGGCCCTAACATCATCGACCACTTTATGTGTGATCTGAACCCTTTGCTCAATCTGGCCTGCACTGATACCCACACTCTAGGGCTCTTTGTTGCTGCCAACAGTGGGTTTATCTGCCTGTTAAACTTTCTCCTCTTGCTAGTCTCCTATGTAGTGATCCTGTATTCCTTAAGGACCCACAGCTTAGAGGGGAGGCGCAAAGCCCTCTCAACTTGTGCTTCCCACATCACAGTGGTTGTCTTATTCTTTGTGCCCTGCATATTTGTGTACATGAGACCTGCAGCTACTTTATCCATTGACAAAGCAGTTTCTGTATTTTACACTATCATAACTCCCATGTTAAATCCTTTAATCTATACTTTGAGAAATGCCCAGATGAAAGATGCTATTATGAGACTATGCAGCAGGAAAGCTATCTCAGTTGACAGATAAATATCTCTAGCTCCTGAGAGTGATTTACCTGAGGACAAGTTCAAAACAGCTTTTTAATTAATCTCAGAAAGAAACACTGATGGTACAAATTTTTAAAGCGTATTTCATTTTTTTAAAGATCACTATAATTCTTTGCTTTTACATTTAGAAAACTAAATGTAAGTACAAGAAGGAGAACATTCCTTGTTCACTTGAACTTTAAAAATCAAATTTGGACTTAGCTTTACTATAATAATCCTTATATATTGATTCAAAACTTTTCATATGGCCTCCTCCCTGGGGGATGGACAACAGGAAAGTGGGTGAAGGGAGATATTGGCAGTGTAAGATATGACAAAATAATAATTTATAAATTTTCAAGGGTTCAAAAGAGAGGGGGGGGGGAGGGGATAAAAATTAGGAGCTGATGCCAGGGGCTTAAGTGGAGAGGAAATGTTTTGAGAATGATGAGGGCAATGAATGTACAAATGTGCTTTACACAATTGATGTATGTATGGATTTTGATAAGAGTTGTATGAACCCCCAATAAAATGATTTAAAAAAATAAAGCAGATGTTGATATAAAAATTTTCATTAAAATTCTCAAACCTATTAATTTAATTACTTCAAAGTCTTTTCTATAGAGGAATAAACCAGGAATTGTCTGTTACTCCAATTAAATTAATCTTGAATTAGTATTTGATCATATTGTTTTGGATGTAATGTTTCTACATCTCCATCCCATAAAAGCATGAATTAAAAAAAAGAAAAAGAAAAGCTATTGGAAAAATGCTTTAATTCTGACCAATCATCTGTATAGTCTGTATCTCATTTTTCTGTCAGGAATTGAGCAAAACAGAAAGGTATCAAAGCAGATATATTGAAGAACCACACACCAGTTTGACTGATTTCACAGACGAAGTTCCAAATTGTATTATCATACCTAGACAAGCCACGCAGTAAAGCATCGATGAAACACACAGTATTCCTCTGGTTCCTTGAGGCGTTCTTACTCCCGCTATCATGGCCTCAGTGCTGCTTCTCAATGCCTTCTAGACCGGAGCGTGTACACAGGTATAGCTAAGAGATGGGAGTTCATGACACATGGAATCCAGGAACATAAAGGAGAATAGCGATACCAGAGGATAGGGGGAAGAGGGGAGAGGATGGGAGAAAGGTGGAATCAATCACAATGATCAACACATAGCCATATACCCCTCTCCAGGGAGAAGAACAATAGAAAACAAGCCATGATGATAGGCAAGTCGAATATCATTTATTAAGCTGTTGACTGTGTTGGGAACATTGGATATATTAATTAGTTCATTATCTAAAACTAGAAATCTAATAATTTTTGCTACTTTCTAAGCAACTTTTCATGTAATACAGGTTATGGTAATTTGTTGCCAGCACCTTTTTGACATCTAACTACATTGGGACTGGAAAACAATGGACAATTTAATCTCTGAATGGTAACCATTGAGGATTAGGCCATGTTTCAAGTGTCCTTGTCCCCATGACATTTTCTCATGTCACCCTTCTTAGGCTGAGGTTGCTCATGTCACTCATTGAAGGCACTCCTTCTGTTGGCACAAATAAAATAATGCTTCATTGTTTGGCAGAAAGGTCTATTTACTAAAGTCATACTCCATAAAGCATTTGTTTATAAAGTTCATGCGGGTTATATTCTAACCAAATGAGGGTGGGGGGATACATAAAAGTTTGGAGTCAAGAAATATATAGAGATGATAGCTAGGCCAATTCAGTGAATTACTACCAGTGAGAAACTAGTGGAAGACCATCCAGTTGAAATAAGGAAGGTGCTTAAAGAGAGCACTAGCCATTTGCTAAATCTCAACTTATGTATCTGATGTGTAGTCCTTCTCTGTATCACCGATGGACCAGGTGTAATGATTGGTACCCACATCCATAAAGGCAGGATTCCAATGTGAAAAAAGGCTTACAAACTACAGCTCCATTAAATGTAATGTCTACCTCAAAGTCTTATGCTGAATCAATGTCACCATCACACCAGGTCCATGGTTCCCATATCCAGTAGAGTGCTATCACCCAAGAGCAAACAAATGTGTCATCTAGGGTCCACTAGGCAGACACATACATATCCATGCATTAGATTTTAAATATAAATATGATGTAAAGAATTAGGTGCCAGGGAGTCCATTCTAGACCCCTAATGGAATAGACACTTCTCAATAGAAGATATCCAAATGGCCAGAAAACATGAAAAGATATGAACAATCATTAGTCATTGGGGAAGTGAAAATCAGAATAGCAACCAGTTATAACTTAATGCCCATGAACTCCAAACCAAACCTATTGCCATAAGTCACCACTAACTCAGAGCAACTCTGTAGGACAGAGTAGAAGTGACCCAAATCATGTCCAACACTCTAAATCTCTACAGGAGCAGATAGGCTCATCTTTCTTCCTCAAAGGGACTGGTCTGAACTGCCAGTCTGAATGATTAGCAACTGTTAATGATTAGCACCCCAGTGCTAGCAGTGCCTCATCATAACCATGGTTTTATTTGTAAATAGCTTTATTTATAAGTACTATAAAATAGCTAAATATCAACTAACTAAAATTCTACCAAACTCTTCCAGACAACAGGAAACACTATGCAAATCACTGCATAAAGCCAGCATTGCCTTAATAAAAAATCACATTAGAAGAAAGAAAAGTTTATGGGTTTTATATATGAACAAAAGTGTCTAATAAAATACCACTAAATAATATCCATATGATTGTTTTTAAATTAATAGTTATATACCAGAGACATGTAGACTCAAACCAGGAATAAAAGGTTTATTTAACATTAATGAATATAACTGCCCAAAATTAACAGTATGAAGTCCAGGAACCATATGATCATATCAGTAAATGCATGATTTCTTGTGGGATTCAACCAGATTTATGATAAGGAAAAGCTTAGTGAGAGAGGTTCTCCCAACCATCAGGAGAGAAGAGCCACCAGCCAAACACTTTCGAGATCCCTGTGTGACAGTGCCCATCGCAGCAGAAGCACAGGGTCCTCAGCACTGAGACCATGACACGGAGTAGTGGGCTTTCTAGCTCATGTAAGGGTCTTGGAGAGGATCCTGGCTGGTGGAATGTGATGCCATTTGGGCATTTATTGGTACAAAGGAGGTTTTTAGGACTTGTTTGGGCTGGGGAGAAGCCAAGGGAGAGCATGGCTGAGAAGAGGCTCTGCTATGGACCAAAGAACTGCATCCTTAGAACGCTTGCTGATCCTGACTTGTGGTGCCTTCTCTAAGGAACCCCACAATTGAGAGTATTGTGTGTGAGTTGTGAGTGGCCGCAGTGGTGGATTATTGCATCCAGCAGAGTGCTGTGGGGAGATGGTTGGTGTCAGGTATGGTTGGTTAAGAAGGGTGAATGGTGGAGGCAGGTCTTGCCTCTCGCTGTTAGATCTCAGCCTTGAGCTGATGTGGAGTGGGATTCTCCTTCTCCCTGGGGTAGTTGTGGGGGGTCAGACACAGCTCCTGTGCCACAAAAAAAAAAAAAGAAAAAAAGAAAAGAAAAAGCTTAGCAAATGAGATTATTCAACCAAATAAAGCACACCTGTGTGAAACTTACAACATCATTCTTAAAGTGTGAATACTTTTCTTCTAAGACAGGGAATAAAATGAGTGTGCCCACACAATTTATTTTCAGCATTATGATAGTGGTTCTAGCTATTCCAATAAGGCCAATCTATCAATCAATAAATAAAATAAAACCCCAAACCCAGTCAATAAGTTCTAACTCCTGACAACCCTATAGGAGAGAGTAGAACTGCTCTTAGGGTTTCTGAGATAATGAATCATTTTTAAGCCCAAACAGCCTATACTTCCTCCGGGGAGCAACTGATGAGTTTAAATCTGTGATTCTGCTCTTAGCAACCCAACTCTTAACCCACCGCCCCACCATGGTTCCTTAAAAGAAAAAGAAGACATGCAAATTGGAAAAGAATAAGTAAGGTGTTAAAATATGTATTTACAAATAGTATGATTATTTCAGTGCCATCAAATTAATGCCAACTCACAGTGACCCCATAGAATAGAGTACAACTGGCCCTGTGGGTTTCTGAAATGATAACTGTTTCCAGGAGTAGAAAGTCTTGTATCTCTCCTGTGGAATGGCTTGTGGCTTCAAGCAGCTCAATACATATCCACTATGCCACCAAAAAATATTAAGTGCCCTATAAAGAGTAATATGTCTCGTAAGTGAATTAATAACTGCACAGGATACCGTGACAATGTCTAATTTGGTTGTATTTGTATAATAGCAGCAAAAATAATTTAAATTGGTATTAAAAAATAGTATACTATGTGAAGGAGAGTCAAAACTTATTGCTACCAGACCCTTCATTCAAACACACCAATAAGTTTATTCGAAATAAAATCCGTTTAAGCATATGTCTGCAAACAGATTTTCTTTAGGTTCATTAGCCAGACTTTTAGGAAAATGTCCAAACAAAATGGTGGCTTCCAAGGGAAGCTGATGAAATTAGACTCAAGGTAGAAAAGTCAACTCTTCCCATTTCCCTAGATTAGTATTTTGCTATTCCTTGTTCTGATTATTATAAAAATACATGTTTGCCACTGTTTCTTCTCTTTTCAGTCATGCCACAGCAGAAAAAAAGTTCTTGAAAGCTTTGCTCTTATTCATGTCATTAAGGCGGACCCTCCACGGAGGGGAGCTCTTCCCTGGTTGAGTTCGGTCCAGCCTGGGAACTCATCTTCTGGAGGGATATTTGAAACTGTTACTTGGTGATTCATAAGGTTTTTCAGAGGCCAATTCCTCCCAAGTGGACTGCCTATTTCTTCTTCTTAGTCTGTTTTTAGTCAGAAGCTCTGCTTAAACTTGGCCACCATGGGTAATTTTGCTGGTATTTGAAATAGCAGTGGCAAAGTTTCCAGCATCACAGCAATGTGCAGGCTACCAGAGGTGAGGGGTGGTATAAGGGTAAAGGAGGATATATTAAACTATATATCTAT